TTGCAAGCGAGCCAAAATGTTAGACAACAACAAAAAAAGTGAAAGAATCTTTCCGGTAATTTTTTCATTCATACCGCAGCGTGAATGAACTGAAATTCACTCGCTCACAAATTAAACATGTGGATATTATTTTTCTCGAGCTGAAATGGAGTGTGCAAAAAAAAATAAGTTGTCACTGTTGTTGGTTATCTGAATGTTTCAACACTATAGATCAATGATAATTTCAATGATAAGGAATGTAATTTTTTTTATAGAATGCTATCTGAATAATTTTCTTATAATGCTTGAGCATTGTAAAATTTAACTGCAAATTACTTCGATTGCTTGAGACAAATATTTTTTATCATTAGTGGTGTAACTGTATATTGATTATCGATGATCATTTAATTTCTTATCAATAGCACCACAAATAAGACTCCCTACCCAGTCTAATTTGTGTACTTATTCCATTGTTTATCCTGTCATCAACTTGGTTACTCTTCACCGTTCAGTTACTCGCTTTAAAATGCTTTGCCTACTACTCAAACGTTCCTTTTTCGGTTCCCACTGTAAATAACAACAATTGTCACCAATTTAAAAACTATTGCTATTGTCATTACATTGATTGTTGATAATCTAACAACGATTACTACATTATCACGAGAACAATATTTGTTGTTTCAGAATCGTTGAAACATTTTGTTCTCAATGTTCCTTTTCTTGATAAATTGCTTCACAAAAATGCCAAAATCAGTGTAGAATTTTGAAAAAATAAAAAGATAACAAAATATCAGTAATCGTTTCTTCAATTCGAAATTCAAGTACTGTAAACTTATAGATCTCAGTAAGACAACATCAACTGAGGAAAGAATCTTGGAAATTGTTTAACGATCAAATAAAGTACAATGTCACAATGGTACACTGGAACACAAGCTCTTTTCATAGCTCTTGCTTTTGCAACTTTTGATCTGTTGATGAATATTTTTGGGTTGGCATGGAATGGTAAAGATTTTACTACTGACAATATCATTCACTGGTTTCAACTGGAAAATTATCGCTTCAAGCAAAACCCTGTTGACTTTTTGGTAAGATCATTCTTTTTATGCTCATGCAGATCATTCCTATAATACCCCAAAAACCGTAAAATTAGGATTATCGATCACAAAATGTCTAACCACGTTCTACTGACTAATCAAATTGTGATTAGTAATCGTACCGAGGTATATTGTGGACTAAAATTATTATTCTGTATTTCACAATATTCTGTGTTTATATATGAAGGGACTGGGTTCTAAATCCTATGAACGAATAATTGCAATTACATCACTTCTGGGAGCAATTTTTGATTACATTCGAATATCTTTTTTTTTCACACGTTCAGCTAAATTTCTGAATAAATTGTGAGAAAAATGGATAAGATGAATGTTTTGTACGCAATGATGAGTTACGATCGAATGTGATTTCGACTAAGAATAGTCAGGTAACTGAATTACTTGAAGGGTGTTGCATTGCTTCGTTTCTGCATCCTTCTTGGCGGTGGCATTGGTGTTTATGCGAATCCCTACGGAGGACCGGCTGCATGCGCTAAATACAGGTACAGCATTCTGAATGTGAATGTTTATAATTGGTTGACTTTTGAGGCCCGTCAAAAAGTGACCAGTTTACATGTTTAGTTTTGTAGTCAATCTAGCCTACTTTCACGGTGATACCCAGAATGAGAGAACTAATTTAGAGAATCAAGCTCAAATTCAAAGTTTCTTTAGAAATCGCACTCGGACTAAAATGCACGTTCAGTGGATTAAAATTTAGTAGGCTCGTTCAGTTGGACGAAAATTTTTGTTTTGAATGCGACACGATTTGCATTTTTATGTGTAATAAAA